AACAGTGTGGGCACACAAGTATATGGAGTTTGCATGCAAAAGTTTTCATGTGAATGTGATTATTTCTATAGGGATTCTGCCCATCTCTTGTTTTTCAGATTAAAAAACAGTAACTTCCCTGCCTGGAACCAGAACATGAATTTCACTCTATCTTGAGAAGATGTACTTGCCTGAAACAACTTGCTTTGCTTTTTCATTTAAGAATGTGGGTTCTTCAGTGCCTACTGTACTACAGCTGTCTTTCAGGGTCAGAAGTCCATTGACTTTCGCTATCCGTTGCATAGCAATAAGTACTGTATACAGAAAAATAAGACACTGTTGTCCAGCAACATTGTTTAAGAATAGTTCCATAGCTCTATTTCTATAGCTATACAAAATGTTTTAAAATCAGCATAGATCTTACCAGTTGATTAAAATCTGCTGGACTTATTCAAAGACCATTTTTTTCTCCCACAGACATAAGAGTATGAGATAAATAATTGTTCTTCCATGTGTTTTATGAGAAATATTTTTGCAAACCCTTAAAATACATTATTATGCCACAGACTCTCAGATGTATGAAACAGTAGATTCCTGCATGCATCTATGGTGCTTAATTTTTACTTAAATTCCCGTCTCCCATTGTGGGATCTAAAAATATAAACTGAGTCTTCTTAAGTGCCCTGTGTCCTCTGTTCTCCACTCCCTCCCCCTCCGTTTTTAAACCAGAGGCCACTTATTACAGAGAATGGAAACTCTGACAACATTTCCTGTGACTTCCTGTTCATCTCATCCTGAAAAAGGTGCTGTGGATTATCTCAGCCATGTCACACAATATACATCTATCACCTTTTACAAAAGCAGGGAGCAACCATGCCTGTGCCAGTGAAACAGACTTTTATGACATATTACAGTCTTTAAAAAACCCACAGTTTGTCTTCATCCTGCCAGAATAAGATGATTTTAAATGAATGCAAAGTTGTCCAATTATGGCTATTAAGTCACAGTCCACACAGTGGAATAATTTTGGTTAAAGCGTAGCAGAGACCCTTCCAAGACACTGAAATTCTACTTGAAGACTCAAGGTTTATCCCTTCTTCCAGAAATAGTTGTTAACATTTAGCAGCATTGGAAAAAAAGAGTGAGTTTGTAATCCCTTTGCATCCTCTTTCTGGACTGCCCCCTCCAACAACAAAAATGTTTAATGTGTTTTTAACACCCTTTGTGAGTTCTGGGCAAAAAGGAAACCTTAATGCTGAATCACAGGACATGCTACAGATATGGAGATGTTCAAATATTATTATTAGCAACTAGGAACCACAGGCCGGCTTACTGATGGACTAACACACTTTTGCAAAACAGGGGACACATCAATGACATATACGTACTATAAACCTTGATTCTTCTTTCGTGAGATAAAGCAGCAACAATGCCACCAAAGTCAATGGAATTATACAACATAAAGACCTGTACATGTTCATAAATCCCCTCATATTTTAGTAGATCTTTACACAAGTTAGTTACCTGAGAGGGACATAGTGTTCCCATCAGAAAAAAATCTGTTGCATCAAACAGAACAATGGGTGCATCTGCTCGTTGCCCTAGTAGCAATGTGCTTTGTTGCCGTATGGCACACTACGGTGACCTAGTAATCACATGGGTCTGCATGTGATTGGCAGCTATGTCACCGTAGTGGTGCACTCCCCTGGTATAGCACACCGCTATGGTGATGTAGTAGTGAAATCGAACCATGCACTGTGTGCATGACACAGTACAGGTGGTTACGGCGCCATGCTTTAGCACTTCCAAAAGGAAGTGCTAAAGCATGGTGCTGTAGCAACGTTGCCATACAGTGATGTGTAGACATGCCCAATAATGACTAAAATCTGTGATGCTTGTGTAAGGCCAGGGGGAAAGGCCAGGGACTCTCTCTTTCTGCATGTCTGTGTATATAATTACTATTCAGAGTACTTAGCCCTTGTATAATACTTTTCATACATAGATACCACAACACTTGAAATATTTTAATGTCTCCAACCCTCTGCAGCACATGTTCCAATCTGATGGTCCTTAGTATAGTACAAATACTTTACACTCATGTTTGCTATTTCTTTTTAAAGACTTTACAAGCATCAAGTAATCTATAATTATAGGGCACTTGTACATGTGCTCCAGGGGCAGGAGGGTGGTGCTTTAATTAGAACAGCTCTGAGACCCGCTCTAATTAAAGCGCCACTATGTCTCCCGTATCAGTGTCCTCGCACTTAAAAATGGTGGGGGCCGCTTGAACTAAAGCTCATTCGACAGGTGCCCATGCCACCATTTTTAAGCATGGAGATGCTGATACATGAGATGCAGGAAGCTGCTGTAGCATGGCAATTGCCACACTCCAGCAGACTTGACTGAGTCTGTTCTGATGCACTGGAATTCCAGTGCATTGTGTTGGAGCAGCCTCCATGCTCATGTATAGGCACCCATAGAGTCCTTTGTGGCAGAATACATATTCTCCTACCCATTTAATTGACAGGCAAACTAAGACAAAAAGAAACACCCCCAAAGACATCCAGTAAGTCAGTAGTAGAACAGGGCCAGGAACAGAGCCTGTAAATCCTTGGCTCGGGTTCTGTGCTGTACTGAGTGTCTGTTTGGCACAGCAGGTAGAACTAACAGAGGGAAGGGGAGAGAGAAGCTTTCAGAGCCACAGCTGACTTCTTGATATTCAAGGGAGCTTTACACTGATATGAATGTTGGCATGGGTTAGTGAAGCCTAGAGGCTGCTCTAAATTCAACCAGGTTCCTATAGTCATTGCCAGACTATAGGCTTGCTGAGCACTGGTTGCAACACAATTTTCCCTACCTCTGCACTCTTCCCATCTCAACATACACCCTATGGTGGGGTCCAGCTGTGTGAAGGTCTAAGGGGAGAAGGCAGTAGAGCAATGACAAGCAAGCCAGCTCTGACCTAACAGAGAGCTCCCTTACATCAGAGTAATTCTCAGCTGGCATGAGCCGATTGTTTTCTGGCCTCTCTGAACTACTGAAGCAGTGTAAAAGGGACTGGAGTGGAACCAACATGTAACACCTTATTCTCAGTCCTGTGCTTCACCCACCACCCTATGCCTCATCCTTAGGATGTTCAGAAGTATACTGTTCTTGTGACTCCCATCCTCTTCCTGACATGCAGTTCAGTCTTGTATTTCCTCTGAAGTCATCGGTGGCTACTTTTCCTATAAAATATTAGCCAAATCATTCTCAGTCTCACTGACACAAACATAGAGGAAGTCGGTTGACTTATGTAGAATTGCTTTATGTTAATCTATTTATGCATACAGTTTATAATAAAGCTGGACTTACTGTTGGAAAGAATCAGTGAAATGGTACCTTGCACTGAGAGGGCGCTATCACCATTCACAGATGCTGAGATAGATAAGCAGTAATAGATACGCCAGTTCTGAAAATGTATTTCTAATACACAGAGAAAGCCTGTTATTTCACAGAGCTGGTTCATAGAGAAGTAAGGCTGGAAGGGACTTCAAGAGATCATGTAGTCCAACCCCGGGATCAAACTTGCAACTTTGGTGTCACTAGTACCAGGCCCCGATCATCTATTAATGTGGAATCACATTCAAAATGTGGCTAGTTTGCAGTCATTGTTATTAATAGGCAGGGTGATACTGAAGTATGCGGAGAGTGGGTATTCTGTTCTAATCTATATAGGTTATTATACCACATTAATGCATTGAGAGTGTAACTAAAATTTGTCATGCGAGTGTTCTCCCATCCTCTCCCCAGAGGAAGAAGCATGTGAAGTACAGTCAATTCTTTCAGTAGTGTTTTTGTTATGTTTTATAATACACACATGGTACTCTGTGTTCATGGTAGAGAAGGCAAAGTCAAATAAATGTGTCTTGCACTTGGGGTGGAAGGCAGTAAAATTTGTGATAGTCCCTAGGCCCTGGGGTATTGTGCTCCACCATCTCAGACCAACCTCCTGAGGAAGTTCTTCCTCCTGCACAGATGAGTTTACCCCTTCTAGAGAGTTGAAGGGGATGAGCTTTACCCTTTTTTCACAGATGAGCTTTACCCCTTCTATTGTGCTAGTGAAGAGAAAATGTCAACCCTGGTCTTCTTCCCAGAGTGTTAAGCAATCTTTTAGATATTCTGTGGCTTGGGCTGTAGAAAACCTGGAAGATTAGGACCAAAAACTTGAACTCAATTCAAAATCCTATAGGAAGCCAGGATAGAAAGCAGAGTATATATGTAATGTGCTCATGGGAGTCTGCATTACTGAAGAGACAGGCAGCAGAGTTCTCTTCCAGCTGGAGACGCTTTATACTCCAGTATATCACACTCCTGGGCCGCATACAGAAGAGCATGAACTTTTGGTTCCTCTGGGACAACTAGCAACGGTGTACCTTGTGCCTCCACCAGTTGTCCCTAGGGAACACCTGTGCCATGCACCCCCTGGTGCATAGCAGGTTACCCTGGGTGGGGTAGGGGAGGCTGGCCCCAGCAGTCTTACCTGGGGGCCTCCTGGGGCTGCAGCAGCGGCAATCCTGTCACTCAGAGCCTGGCCAGCACCCACAGCACAGCTCCAGCTGGCCCTGCTCTGGGTTTGAGTGACACATGCTGTCGCTGTATGTGCTGCTCCATTTTTTTTTGGTATGGGTTTTTTTGACCCCTGGATATCCAGGGGTCAAACCCACCCCCTGCCCCCTGCACTGCTCCTTTGCAGTGTGGAGACCAGCCGAACAGGTGGTGTCGCAGATGTGTACCGCATGCTGCAGATGTATACTGCATGCTGCAGACGTGGTGCCACAGACATGTACCGCATACCGCACGGCTGTGCTTGCCTGGACGCAGCCCTGAAGGCTAGTAGATGTTGCTGAACTGCACAGTGTATTCTTATTACAACATGTGTTTTTACATAAAGTATTATAATTAATTGGCCACTGCACTGGCCTTCCTTCAAGCCTACAGCTGTGTTCCAGGGTTAGTAACTTGAAGCATTACAGAAAATCTTTCCTGAAATAATCTATTCTTTTTGTGGGAAGATTTTTATATGCTAACAGAAAATGTGCGTGTCAGCAAAATAAACATAAACTATTTCATACATCATTATTTCCCACCATACTCCACAAGTGTCAGTCTCGGAAGCAAAGCTGTTTACTCTAATGTCCTGTTTTGGAACATGAAAGCCACTTGTCGACAGTCTAAATTCCTCTTCTTAAGATTACTTCTGATTAATCATGTACTGGTATTCCTGGAGATCCTTGAAGGACTAGATTCTGAATGAGTGCAGATGTTGCAGAAAAAGTTTTTTGTGGGAGGATCTCTTCCTGCACAATGTTTGAAATAAAACAACATTGCTTTCACTGGAAAGCATGTGTGCCAATTCTCAGTGGATCTGTCTGTCTGGGGAATTGTCAACTCACCTCTGGTTCTACAAATTCAGAGTTCTTTCTGCCTCTCTTCCCTCCTGTGTCTTCACTGCAAAAAAACATACCAAGTCAGCCAGCTCGAAATAGCTGTCATGGTACAAAATCCTAGCTGAGCTAAGTCATCTTTGATGTAGATAAACCATGGGCAACCCCAAACTCTCATTTCAGGGTTTACCTAGACTGCTCCATATTCCGGATCCTTTTTGTTGCCCTTCTCTGTGCCTTGTGCCATATACATATATGGGGGAAGAACCACAGCGAACATCCCTATTTGTGGAGCAGCGAGTCTGCAGCAGCTGACAATCTGTACAGAGAAGTCAGTATTGCAGGGGTTTTCAACCTTTTTGTATCATTGTACCACCAGAGGCTGGACACAGACCAGTGTACCTCTGGCTGGGGGGCAAAGGGGAGTGGTGAGCAGTGGGGGGGCTTCCCCTGCCCCCCCCGTGTCCAGCTGTGTGGGCAGCGCCTGTGCAGCAGTGTGGGATGCTGTGTGGCAGCACTCCGTCTCCACCCACCTGTGTGTACCCCCTAGGGCCATCTCAAGTACCCCCGGAGGTACGCGTATGCCCGGTTGACAACCCCTGCACTATTGCACAGCATCTGTTAGTCATTTAGCACAGTATAAAGTAGGTATCGAATATTATCTAAACAGCAAAGTACCATTTTACGGTAATGTTGCACCGGTGTACCATGACTAAAAAGAGCAGGCTGGGAACCAACCAGACAGACCCAAGCTGGTTTCTAGAAAAACTCAGGGCTGTTCAAACAGGTGAGCCCAGCGGCACTGTACCTAGACTCCTGGTGGCTCCACGCAAACTTTTAGCATCAGGCCCCCCTTTGTGGGAGATAACGATAACAATCATTGGACAACGGAAACCCCCCTACCATTTTGGGGCCCCCTTTCTGTATGGCAGCTACCTGGTTCACCCATGCCCTAAGTATCACTTGCACAGAGGCTCTTACTGGGATGTCAGTGGGACTGACTTTACCCCTAAACGCTTTGGCCTGGCGTGCACAGAGAACCGACTCCTCGCCTGATTTTTCTAATCAGAAAAGCTATAAAGCGAAAGCAGCAGAAACACCACCAAGCTTA